AGAAAGACATACGTGCACCCGCAGATACGCACAAAAATTTATAGGCATACAGTTACACAAACTGTCATTAAATGAAATCAATCAAATCGTTTATAAGGTATTATATTATTCAATTAATTTTTGCTATTACCGTTGTTATATGCAACCTATATAAATAAAAATATATTTTCGTGGACTCACTTGTTAGGGGGACGTAAATGAAGAAGAGATTCGTTGGTCGATCTCACCAGATGAGGACGGATGGAAATCGTTGTACTGCAGCCGTTCGGCTTTTATATGATATTCATGTTGGCGCAGTACACGAGTCTTCCTCCCTCGTTTCTGGTGAAAACGTGCTCAGCTTTAATCCGAAACGAGGGAGGAAGACTCGTGGACTGCGCCAACATGAATATCATATAAAAGCCGAACAGCTGCAGTACAACGATTTTAATCCGTCCTTATCTGGTGAGATCGACAAACGAAACTCTTCTACATGCACTTTCCATCGAAATGAAAGTCCCCCTAACCATGTTATCTAAGCAAATTGTGGACGCCTATCTCTGGTCGCATCCGGCATCTCAAGTGGATTTCTAGTTCACTTTGGGCATAACGCAGAATTTTCGCGACGCTTTGCTTATCTGTCTGCCAAGCTCTCTGACTGCCAGTCCCCCAAAGTTGTACTCGTTTATTCAAAATGACATCAACCACTGACAACGTCTTTGCTTTCTTGCCCAAAATCCCTCCCTCCACTTTCTTCTTTGCGATCTCTTTTCCTCCGGTTAGCGATAGATCCTTGTTCAGGCGTCTCCTTTTTGATGGTGTTGCTCTATTCTTGTTTTCCCCGAGTTTGCTTAGGCGGTAGGCAAGGTTATCGCTAACTCTTCCATCCTCTAATCTGTTCAATAGATTTTTCTTCCAAAGGACGTCAATGGTCTTTCTAATATTCCGCTTCCTTGTGTTGTCACCGCATGAAGCTATTCTTTCTGTTGTCTTCCACTTGCTCTTGTGTCCAGTCTGTGCGGATGTGTTTCGCTAGTTCTGATCTTTAAGTATCCATTTTTCTGCAGAGCCTCTGATATTGCTTGATTCGTGTGATAATTTTTCTCGTTGTTTCGCCAATATATTTCTGATCGCAGGCGCAGCATGATATAAAGTAAAATCCTAAACATTCCAATTTATCTACCTTTTCATGTTGCGTTTGCAGACTTGTGAAAAGTGTTGATTTCTCTTTTATTGCAACCTGAATATTCCATTTACTCAATATAGGCCGTAGTATTTTAGTTAGTCCGCAGGAAGGTAGACATACCCACTTTTGTGAATCCTTTATCGTCTTACTATTCTTTCATATTCCCCCTTCTGCCATCGGCTTTTCACGGTCCGTATGTTTCTTTGTATTACTTCGCTAGGTTAGCAATTGCCGAGGAATATCCGCATCAATGTGTCCAGCTCCTCGTACCAGAATTCTACATCCGTTAAGCGTAGGCTTCGGATGATCATGCTCCTCATTATTCTAATGTTCCGCATGTAATTGTGATGAGACCAAAAATTGAGTATTATCCCAGCATAGGACTTCTTTCTGAACAATTTAATTTTGAGCGTCCCATTAGAACGAATTATTTTAACGTCCAGGAATGGTAACCGCTCACCTTCCTTTACTCTTATCGTGAATTGAATTTTTCCATCAATTTGATTTACAAACTTCAGAAACTCTTATAGTTTTCCTTTTCCATGTGAGGAAAGTGCAAATTAATCATCCAGCTACTGTATGAGTAGTGTGGTTGTAGCGTTGTCATCTAGTAGCTCTCTTCTATTTTGTTCATGTATACTTTGGCCAAATGTGGTGAGAGCAGCGACCCCATGGGAAATCCAAATATTTGTTCTTAGATGTTCCTGTTAAATGTAAAATAGGT